GATGGCAACGGCAAACCTGTAGTTAAAGTGCAGATATTGCGTCAGCCAGTATCTCGTATATCAGCACATAAAAAGCAAAGTCTTTCGATTCACGTAGCTTTTATTGAAAAGAGGTGCCACACACAGCGTCTGGACTGCTTATGTCTTTACACTTTTTTTCTGGTCTGCTCGTGCCTTAATAATTTCCAGTCTGATCATTGTGATCTACTATAGTATACTGTTTCAGCAAGTTGTAGCTGGTTACGTCTTTGTGTTGACAAGATCTATCAAGGCTGTGGGTATTATCAAAGGAATACAGCTTTTTTAAATGGGTTGATTAGCGCTCAAATTCCTTCGATACCGCCACAAGTGGCTCCGTTCCTGGTGAGAGAAAGCACTAAGCGTAATTATTTGACCCTATGTTATTAGCCCGGCTAGACTTCGTAGCACAACTTTGGATTACGGTTCAATGAGATTAGGCATCATAGGCAGGGTGTGAGACGCTATGGCTGTGAACTATGATATATATCAATTTCCCGGGGGCAAAACACACGTGACTCTTTCGGTGAGAGTGGTTTTGTTAAATACAGAAAGCTTCTATACATGCAGTCTATGATCTATAGGCCCAAGCTGCGACCGCACTTATGGCACTGATAACGAAAAAAAATAAAATAATTATGATTTCAGGGAGAATGCGAACACATTGTAAGCTCTCCGTGGACTTACTAAAAGCATACCACGATCCCGCTCTTCCTAACGAGTTTTGATCCAAAATGCTCTATTGTAGACGGCGCAGCTTCTCTCCCATCCTTTGGATCAGAACTTCTCTCTGCTCTAGATTAGCCATGTGGTAAGAAATCCATGGTGGTACTCAGTACGATGGAGTAATTGAGCTAGCGCACAGAAACTAGTTCATCGCAGTTTCGGCTGCACGCCGAGACTCTCGAAGACAGTCGACGTACTACCACAGCTAAGAGGGATCACAAGAGAACTCCTCCGCCGGATCAGAGCGATAAGTAAGGGTTGACCGCTCCCATGTAGAAGTTTCTAAAGTTGTCACCAGTACTTGATTTAGTGGGAGCGATATTCTGATTCAACATTCATAGGAGTCTGAATGCCACATCTACAGAATTATCTAGCCCCTACGCAGTTTATGCATGCTGTTTGATGTATCTGTTATAAGCAGAGCTTTTTTGAAAATTAATACAGTCATCAGGAAGAGGTCGCCAGTTATGTCAGCGACGTAATTCCAATCATTGGATTGATCCCAATCATACTAGTGAGATTGATGTCTTGTCAACAACTATGCCATTAGAATTATCATGATCTGTGGATACGTTTTATCGACTTTAGGGATCGACCCGCGCAATAAACTATCAGCCGACCTAGGGATAAGCCTTATCTTGCCACCACCAGGTCTTTACAGTGCCGTCATGTGAACTCGAAGCAAGCAATGCCTGTTTCTCGTGCCAGCGAGCATTATACGTCACACCACGGTGGCCAGAGAGCCGTTCCAGTAATTTGCCAGTTGCCACCTCCCACACATACACAAAACCGTCCTCAGAACCACCTAAAACAAAGCTGTCACGTGGACCGAATGATGCTCGTACGATATTTTTGGCAGTATTTTGATGTCCCTTGAAACGTTGCAGTGGACGCTGCTCTGCATGGCGACTCCCAGAAAAACTGGTGATACCTCCGCTGACACTACTGCTTCCACTCAGGCTGTGACTGCTTCCATAGCCAGCACCTAACGAAATTCCAACTCCACTGACCGGAGCGTAGCCATTGATAATGCCTCCATTACCTCCTATCGCAAAACCATTTAGTGATCCACTTGAGCCACCACTTGATGCCACACTTCTGATCCCAGTAGACAGATGAGCTCGTGGAGAGTTAAGCATGCGTAAATCCCACAATCGGTTGCTATTATTGCGCGAACCACTCAACAACGTGTAGCCATTTAATGCCATTGCAATAGACGTGACTTCTCCAAGTGTCTGACGCAACGTATGAACGCACAATCCACTGAGGATATCCCACAACCGAATGGTGCCATCTTTTGACCCGCTTACAATAAAGTTCGCATGTCTATTAAATTGGGCATCGCACACAGACGCGAAGTGACCACGAAAAGCCTTGACAACTGCACCGGTGGAAATGTCCCATAACCGCACACTCTGATCGTAGCCTCCTGTCACCAAATGTGTCTCGCTCGGGTGCAAGTTTACAGTATACACATCGCCTCCATTTGGACTGATGAGCGTAGCTAAGCACTCGGCGGAAGTAACTGAAAGATTGTGTGGCAAGGAGCTCGAAGCAGCAATCGTCGAAGTACCATTATATGTAGCTGATGCTACGAGTTCCACGGTCGAGGCAGACGCTGCAGCTTCGACAGCGGAACTCGTAGCATCAGCTTCGCAAAGACCAATGAAACCATCAGCGTCTTCTTCCAGAGCCTGCTGGGTCGCAACACGCTCATCTAAGGCTGTGCGCAAGTCCCAAACCTTCACCGTGCCGTCACCAGATCCTGAGTAGAGACGTTCACCCGATGGACTTGCAGAAAGGTACCAGATTCTTGAAGAGTGTCCAAGCAAATCACGCGTCCACTGTCGGCAAATTGTGCCCGTCGATTCTTCCATTTGTTCGTCCCCGCTCTCCTTTTTGAATCCCAACACTTCAGTAGGCCAAAGCTTAATCGTGCCGTCACTAGATCCTGAAGCTAACAGCTCGCCATCCGTGCCCACAAACGTGACAAACTTTACGTTTTGCGAGTGACCTATATACGTACATTTTACCGCGTTTGGCAGCACATCACATTCAAAATCTCTCAACAATGTCGTAACTTTAGGGATTGTCTTGGGATGATATCGACTGAATTCCATTTGATACGCCACACTTTGATGCAGCAACTGCATCAGTCGGTTGTCCGGCATGGCCATTTGTGGAGCCGTCAAAGTCGTATCTCCATCCTGTTGGGGGGAAATGACCTCTTCCAAAGCAAAAGTAGCTCTCAGCTGCTCGACAAGCTTTTCTCTCGACCTCACGACTCCCTCCCAGTCTCGAAATCCATCAGACTCACCGACAGCCTTGCAAGTGAGCAGGTAGCAAAGCTCTTTAAATTCATGGCGACTGGAACTCGTCGCAACAGCAACCTTCTCAAGCGGTTTCAAATGTGTCGTGAGGAAAGTAAACGCCTTTTGGTACTCCTGTCGATCAATTAATTCAAGATATTCCTGCTTACAGACGGCGTACAGAAACCCTTGGTGGGCAGCGTGAAACTTCTTAAGGTGCTTTCCCAACAGCTTGGCCACAAGATCCCAATCCCCATCCATAATAGCAAGACTCAGGCGACGCAACGCATCTCGCTCCTGCATTCTTCCATGATACTTGACATTCGATTCATCCTGTATCGTTGCGCTGGACATGGTATAACCTTCCTGCTGCAAGTACTGAGTGATGAGCGCTAGCAGCTCGTGTTTGATCTGCGAGTCCTGCTCGTCAAATGTTGCTTCCGGAGAGATTCTAGTGCGGTGGTGACCAACGTGAGACCATGGGGCACTTGCAGACCTTGAGTTTGTATTACTGGCTAGACCGCTTGAAGGGGGTAGTGGCGTCGGCACATCGCTCATTAGGTCGACTTGAAATATTGCACCAACGCTTGGACATTTCTTACAATTGTTAATATTTTAGATTGAAGATCTGCCATATTTATTAATTTGCTGTACTGGTCATGTCTTTGAATTGGTTTTGAGATTTGAAGATTTCAATGTAATAAATTAGTCTCAGTGTAAAATACTGGTGTACTGGGAGACTAATATTGTAGTTTTGTAAATTACGTCTAGTTCAGAAATTTAATGTTTTTACTCAACAATAGCTAGGTATAATTGCATACCGGTATTTGCTTCAAAATTGAGCTTAGCTAATATCTGTAGTACCAAGGCACTGATTGCAACAGATTGCCGTGCACTTTACACAGAAGAAGCTTTGACTTGAGGAGCTCGCGTAGACAAACACCATGGAGTTGGGCTCGTGTGAACGTACTAAAAACGGAACCTAGAGTCTTTATAGTTACAAATACTGTTAGTTTTCTCATGTATCTCAAGATATAATTTATTTAAACTGATACTTACTTTAAGTATCTTTCATAGTAAAGCTCACTTCCTAGGGCTAGCAGCCCACGTGTACCACGGATCCCACCTTCAGCATCTTAATAATACCAAGAATTCCACACTTATAAGTATTAATACGTACACTGAAAAATGTCATATCGAGCGGCTGTGTCGTATTGTATTTCATACAACCGTTAGGATCAGGTCATACGATCACAGTACTTGCCCTGTAATCTGCCCTACTAAGTTGTAGACCACACTGAAATCCACACATATTTGCGCAAAAGTGACCGCTCCGCGATAATCCAATGCGCCTGGATATATACTCCACTCTCTGCACTTTACCGCGTTTGCATTTCTGAGCATACCTGCACGAGGGGTCCGATTTCGTGCTCCAGATAAATGGCTACATAAGATACCGTGAAAGATGCGGTTTTCACGATCAACACGCTTAGTCCCTATGAAGCACCTCTGTCCTCACCCACATGACCTAGCCATTCCCAGGAAGACGAGGCTTGCTGCGCTTAGCGTGCCCGCTTCACGAGTCTCAAAATCCGAGCCTTTTTTCATATACAGGACCTCGCTGTGAAACACACAACAAGTTCAACTCAGCACCACAATCTGGATTATTTGAATGCAAGCGACGGTTACGGGGTAGAAACGTCCAAAGTCGCTCCATGTGACGATGTAGGGCTCCTACACACTTACGCTAACATCAAAGCAAAACAAGCCGTTTACAAATCGATATACAAGCGCTTTATTAACTCGCAAATAGAATATTGTCTGTGCTAAGAGCAGTAGCGTTTGTGTACCTTTGAACATACGTACCTATGTTAGCAAAAGCTGTTGAAATAGACGTTGAGTATCAAAGCACTGGGTGCGAAACAAGATCGATTCACTTGTTTTATGACCTCACGAGCCATCTTAAGCAAAGCGTACGTCGAGATGACAATCCATTCCGTCAAGTTTCTGCTATTTACCCCGACAATCATTTCAATGAGACAGTTGAAACAGCTACCGGCCAAGAGGCTAATTCAACGAAAGGTCGGTCGCATCCCGTAGTGAGAAGCGCGCTGCAATGAGGGACCCTGCCTTTTTCAAGGAGGTAAAGGCCGAAGTGGAACCTACTCTCCTGCAACACATCAGACTGAGAAAATCTCTCCACTTCACAAGTTATTGGTTAAAGCCTTGGTACAACCAGACGTTCCATGGAATGTTTATCACCCTTTACCCATCAATCAATGCCGGTGGAGATCAACCCTCCCGCGGCTGGCTCTCGTGACATCGTATGTCTCTGAATGCCATGACATGCACATGAGTCAAATATCGGGTTTTCTCTCTGAGCCTTGCGATCGCACCGTCTAGCTTGAGGTGCCTCAGCAGTCCAGAAACGCGTCGCGGCTTAAGAGTAAAAGGTAACTCAGCGACAAGTTATGGTGAAAGCGTTGTCGGCTTTCAGGCAACATAATCACAAGAAGCCATCACGTGGCAGGATTGCCAGTGGTAATTCATAATGCTATATTAATTAGGGATTGCTATATTGATTAGTTTTTACTATTTGAGTTAGATAGTACTATATTAATTGGAAACTCTAAAGGTTTAGATATTGGCGGCTCTACCGAAACTATGAAATCGCAAATACAGCTTCAATTTTGAACGGAAAAGTTAACTTACCATAATTAAGGTTTTCAGTACTCTTGGAGGCAGCGGATTGCGATCCGCTGCACTCGAACTGGTTCTTCTAAAGAAAGTTAGGTCGGTGATCTTTACTTTCTTTCTTTAAGCAAAGAACTACGGCACCCCGCTGCACTTGGCAGCACTTGTAGTCAATCAACGATTGGTTCGTTACAATTGATCCTCTGTGAGGATAGAGGAATACTCCTATTTGCCCCAGGGCATGCTAGACGAGCTCAATAAGCTGATGTCGCTACTAGGCCCTGAGGGCGTGGAACGCCTTATTGCACAAGGACCCGAGGCAATTAGCTCTGTTAGAGCACTAACAGCAGAAGCTGTCAGCGTCGACTGCGTCTATAATGCCACCGTCAACGACGAATGATTCCTTCCGACCCAGGCCGTTCATGGTGAGTGTTGAGACCTTCGAGGGTAAGGATGGAGAAAATCTCCTACTCTAGATAAGAGAGGCCGAGATGGCTATGGCATTCGTCATGCTCCAAAACTAGCAACAGTGCGTGGCGCTAGCTATAACCAAGCTCGGGGGCCGAGCGCGATAATGGGCATTAAAGTGCGGTGCTTTGGTT